ATTGCATAATAGTCGCGGTGAACTGCTCGGGTTATTTATGAACCTTTCCTTTTCTTTTGTCAGCAGTGCAGATGCTATTTGGATGAGACAGTGTTTGATATTGTAACAGACTAAATGTTGTGCTTTGTCAAAGGGCTCACATTATATTAATGGAATCATCTCGTTTTCATTCCGCAATTAATACATTTGCATTTCTGTTTACGATCTAAATACGATCTAAGCAAGTACTAATCAAGTTCACAAAACTTTCCAATTTTCGGAACATTAATTTTTTCTCATTGCGAGAAAAAATATGTGCTGAGAGATTACAAGCGTATTAATTTTAATTGCGTTAATAATATGAATTTTAAACAGTTTGTATGCCAAAAGCTACACAATACATTTTTTCAAAAATCTCGACTTAGATCTCCCTGCATATATGATACGCAGTAAAAATTAATAAACTATAAATTAAGCGTCGAACGCTAAAAGCGATCGAACATTCGAAACGTGAGAATTCATTAATGCCGTGGAAAATTGGTGTCTGTCAAATTCAATGGTAACGAGATTTGGAGCGATAGTCCCGCTGTTCATTACATCGCGAAACTTACAGGTTTTTATTAGCTTCTTTGGAATTCTTAAATCGATCGCATAGATGGAAAGAATTGATACGGTCGTACTTGAGGTCGTATCAGATAACCATTCAGATATATACCGAGGGTTAGGGGGTACAAAGATTCTATATATACTTTCGTAGAACTTGCTCCCGACCGACATATACGCAGACATATCCGCATATAGACATGCCTACTCTCACTCGCGGAATGCAATACAGCGTGATTGCGATCACGAGATATTTCGATTCTTTTCTCAGCAGCTAATCTGTAATCTATATCACAAATAACACTATGATACATAATATCTCCGAATCACCATTAGCGCAGTATTAAATAACCACGCGTTATCTCATAAGTAAACAAACAGGTAATAGAAAATTGATTAACTTTTTATTTAAAAATAAACTAATTTTAATATCCTATGCATGAAATGTATGAAATATAATTGTGCGTGTAGATACAAAACATAATTATGCGAATTTATTCTGCATCGTTTTTCTCGCGATACGGAATTTGTTTTGGATTTGAAAAGATTTATACGATCGCGTCGCAAGCGAAGCTTACGTATTTCAACATTGAAAATGTCACGTTTGAGCGCGTGTATTAAAAACCAAGAAAATTAAGATCAGGCATACCGTGGACTCGCCATGGAGCCGCGCGTGATTATTCCAGTCACGTGTTACTCAGACTTAACCAGCCGATCTGTCAGTCAGGCAGACAGGACAGTCGTCAGACTGGCAGTCAGTGACACGTTTGGTACAGGGTTCGGTGCAAATACGCGCGCGCTCAGCGTTCTATTAAGAGCGAGGCACGAAAAGGCTAGACGACACGAGGTGACATCGAGATGGGTGACACGACATGGTCCTGCGCTTAGCCCGCTTCAGTCTTACAACGCCGCCGGCTATGCGCACCTCTGCTTCTTCGGTCGCGCGTCTTTCATTGTGCGATAAATACTGAACGCTTTTATCTCAATTTTTATCCTCGCTTTAAAACGCGGCTCGCGAGAGACCTAAGGATTTCGTTCAACGAACTTAATCGAGTGCTATTGCACGGACATATGTTTTATTCTAATACAGCGGCGCACACATTTAATATTCTTTGACTTCAAATAATTAAATAATTACTACAAAATATCAAGAAACAATAATCGCACGCAGAAAATATTTAATAATATTTTACGTGGAGAAAATTGGATATTTTTTTCTGTATCTCTATTCGAATCTTGATATATAATTCTCTATTTTATTCTGTGTGATCTCTCGTATATATATTTCTCTATTTCATTTGGTATTTATCCCTATCTATTCATCTCTATCTATATATCACATAATTTGAAATATTTAAAATGACTTAATTACCGGTTCTCTATAATTACTACGCAATAAATACGACAAGTAACATTATATCATTCAACCAGTCTTGATCGATTGACCAACACCATAGTTGATAGTCCATAACTTGAAGTACCACCACAGGATATTGAAGCAAAATGATATCGCTCAATTAGTTTTTTAATTACTTACTTTCGCATTAACAATAAAAAATAATACACTAATATTCTGGTTTTATTTTTGAACGAAGGTAAAAGTTTATTAGTGAAACAGAATCTTCCGTATCCTCGCGGGAGTGAATGCACGAAGTGCTCCCATTGCGTCTGCATAAGATCTTATGTGATTACGAAATTTATTACCGAGAGATATATAACGCAAGTCATGCGTATGATTACGGAAATTCACGTTACAATAACATATTGGCTCGTACTCCCCTCGATGCTACAGAATTTATAGTGCGGGAATAACTACTGAGATCGCGCCAGATAGAATCTAAATGCTAATTAAACAGGTGTGCCTGACACGCGTGAAATTTAATCGGGTCAGCGATTACCGCGGTGCTTTAATGCATCAAAAGGCATGACCAGTAAAAATAATAAATCATGCGCGTCCCGAAGATAAAATAATATTCAGCGATTTAACACACACACGCGCGTAATCTATCGCATAGAGATTATTACTCCCGTATGCATGTTTATGTAAGGATGGTAAAAACTCTCAACCTGTTATAGACATCAAGCGCAACGTCGTGAGCGTATCGAGATCTTTCCTGTGGTATTAACTCAAAGAATTAACATGGCGAGTCTAAGAAACATATTTCAATCGCATATGAGCATCGTCGAGAACTTTCTCACCAGCCTTCACCGAGTGCATTCCTTTACACACCGACGTATGTTGTATCGATGTCGGCGAGATACCGATAGCAATTTATCACCAGAAAAGATCGAAGATGCGCATTTCAAAGAAACATCCATTCTTAAATTTTTAGCTATAATAATTTTATTTAAACAAAGACGAAGAAAGAGAAATATATCTGCGCGATTATATTTGAATACTAAAAATGAAAAAAGCAGCTCGATGCTGCTATAATATTATAAGCTGCCATAACTGCAATAATATTAAACAACGCATCGATTTTGTAATTCTTATTATTGCGCAGGTTTTAGTTAATTGATGTTAGTTTTAGCCAGCGCGCAGCAATTATTGAATAATGATGAGTGGCCGAAAAAGGTATTCGCGTTTGTCTGTTACAAAACGGGTAGGTGCGCTGGATAAACGATATGCAGAGACCGAACGAGCCCGTGTCCAGACAACCAGAACACTATTTATTAAAAAGTCAGGCCGCGCGACCCAGCGACGTGTTACATCGGGAGGAAAGCGATAACACCGGACGGAGGGTCCTGTCATTAAGCCCGGTAGGAGCTTCGTTGTTCAACGCTCGTTGGTTAGCGTTCTCTGTGCAAAAGCGCTTTTCGCTCTCGTGGAAGTATCCAGCCACGTTGCTCAAAGCCGCGGAACGAATCTTTAAACGTACTGTTATCAATGTTATACATAAATGCTCGGAAAATACTGGCTAACACGCGACTATATACTTTTCGAACAATGGTGAGATATTTATGTGTACACGAAAGCAAGATTTGGTGTGTGCACCGTGTGAGATTTTATGTGAAGTCTGGCCAAAATTTAAGTTTTCAGTATAAACTGAAACTAAACGATTTTGATTGCCTAATTTAAGTAATATAAATAAGTATGCCATCCAAAATAATAATAATAATGTGAAAATTATTTTATGTTTATATTAAAAATATGATTTTTAAATATTTCTTAAAATCTCACACTGGACGTTTTTGATACTTTACGCGTTTTTATGAAAAATATAAATTAACAGAGATTTAAATTGTTTGTTACGATTTTCTTAGTGATATTAATGCACTTCCTACTTGAGCGCATCTTTATTTGCGCGAGACCCATCGACTTCTCTCTGTTGTTCCGCGCTATTAATAGCCATCTATTATAGTTTTAAATGAGCCGGTTCTTCAATATCCGCAGTGACGCGTGCCCACAATAAACTTGAAAACGAACGAATGAGTAGTACCCCTGCTCAAATAGCACCTGCCGAAGCAGCGGACCGAAGCCTAGTGTTTTGAAAAAAGGATAGAGGTTATTGGTATATTAGTAATATCGCGCAGAAATTTTGCACACAAAATTGTAGTGAAAAAACATAAAGCAAGAAAAGACTATCTATTTTAACAAAATTCAACTGCAAATAATATTATTTCTTACGTTTTCTTTTTAATACGTCATGCAAATTACATAAATATCTATTTAGCCTTTAATGAAATTTCTCATTTATGCAACAAATTTGCATAAATTGCTCATTTTTATCTCAGATTTAAAAAAAAATTATCTAACGAAGCAATATATCAAATTCCAATTGATTTACGTTATTTCATATTGTTAAGTGATATTATCTTATCTGCCATGTTCATTGCGTAGTAATTATAGAAAACCAGCAATTAGAATCTTTAAACATTCACAAGTACATGATAGATTAGAAGTGAATCGAGGTTAAACAGAAACTCGTTTCTGGCGTTGTTTGGTGGTAATTTTTGCGAGACGAGAGAAGTAGATGTAATAGACGGTATCGTAATAATAGCGTTGCAAAATTATTTATGACTGAGGCGTGCAAAGCAAATAGGTAAAACAGCTGCCAAGTGACCAGTTTGCAATCCAGTAGCGCTGGCCGAGGCATTAACCACGACTCGTTGAAATAATTAACGAGGTCGTCACGCGTTGCACGCTTGAGCCCTTAGTAATATGCATCGTCTGTGCTTTTTATCTCACCCTTTATTCAACGCGCTTCTCCACTCGTCGCCCGCTCGCGATAAAATTCCCGTTTGAAAAACGACTTCGGACATCTCTCTTTGTACCTGTAAATTAGTATTGAGAAACACTACGTGCGCAAAACAGATAGAAGCAGAAAGACCCAAATGTCTCCGTTAAACTTATCGATTCTTTTTACAATGCCTATGCTTATTCTCCTCGCGAAGTAACGATAATCTTCGATTTTCAGGTACGGTGAACGCGAACGGGGAGACGAAACGACAGAGGACCTCGTACACAAGGTACCAAACCTTAGAGCTGGAGAAAGAATTCCATTTCAACCGCTATCTGACGAGGCGGCGTCGCATTGAGATCGCGCATGCTCTCTGCCTTACGGAACGTCAGATAAAGATCTGGTTCCAGAATCGGCGTATGAAGTGGAAGAAGGAGCACAAGATGGCGAGCATGAACATCGTGCCGTACCACATGTCGCCGTACGGACACCCTTACCAGTTCGCGCCCCACCCCGGTCAGTTCGCTCACTTGGCTACATAGGACGAGTTCTCGCCCGCCGAGCTCGGAGCACACGCTGTCCGGTTCCCCGGGATGTACGGCGAGCAGAACTTCTAAAGGCTTTTTCCGCCTTGGACCCCACGCCTATGTCACGAACCTTGTGACTTGGCATGGTCGAGGAGACTTCACTTCCAGTAGAACACGTGGTGCGTTCCGCCAATTTGCCGCAATGCGCCGATGGTTAACGAATGAATTGTTGCCGAAGGAGAGAGAGAGAGATCGTATCCTCCTTTCGTGTGTTAATAAAAGAAAACAACATGTACTTAAATTCGTTTTTTCTGATTCAATCTGGCTGTCAGAAGGAAAACTTTCTCGAGAGGGAAAAAGTGTTTTCTTCTCAGGCACTAAAGAAAGAAACAATTCATTTTCGCTCACCTTTGGCTTGCAGAAACGCAAATGCCATCGCTATACACGACTATTCGAAGTTGAAGAAAAGCCAAAATTTTCTGCATATATTGCGTCGTACTCTCGACTTAATAGACTGGACGCGCTCCGAGGGGTTCTCTCACGCATGAGATTATAAAATATTGATATTAACGCGGATGAGAGACCACCTCAGCGGGTGAGATAAAACCGAATATCTAGTTTAAGGTGTAGAAACTAGCTGTCTAAATAATTAATTAATCAAATTACGAATTAATTAATTATCTTGTCTGGCTGCACGCTGTTTCATTCGAGATAGAGCATCAAGGAAAATAAATTTCGAAAAATACGCTTATATGTTTCTTTCATATGCTTTCTTCTATGCAATACTTTTTTATCTAACTATTTTTGAACTTATTCATAGAAAAAAAGTATGAAAGATTCAAAATAATGTCAAACAAGTGTTGAAAATTTTGTCTATATTATAGTTTATAAGATCTCTATTAATATATATGCAGATTATTTTTTACTGTCTTAAAATATGGTCTTTAGAAATCCGCGATTGCGTATAAATTATATGAACTTCATGCAATTTCTAAGAAATACTAAATAAAAAATTGAGAGATACAGCAATTGCATTAATAAACTAACGACAAAATATTCATAAATATTCATAAATAGCATAATTTATACGTGATCAAAATAGTATTGCAATCATTGCAATCATTGTAATTACAATAATTGTAATTAAATATTTTTGTATTTCCGGATTTCTAATATTTTCCATATAAAAACGTCTGTATACACCTTATCTTTTTTATATACTTCAATAATTTATCTGATTATTATGTAATACAAGTAATCGTAAACAATATGAAAAAAATAATAAATTCTAAATTTTATTCAGCAATTAATTCTCGTATTATTTAATATGCACTTATTTTGCTAATCCTACGATCTGATTTCATTAATGAAACGGTGGGCAGCCACGGCCCAGCATCTCTCTGTACATAATTTGCAACGTAATATAACCAATGTCTCCCTGGAGCAGCCACGTTGTTCCTATATTGTCGATATGTGTAGGGAAATCTCGCGCAGAACCTAATATTCATTTTATTCTACCGCATCAAGCATTTGATCGCGATCGATACAATAAATGGACTACTTGTTCCTCGCGCATCGACTATAATAACTTTAATCCGCATAGAAACCTAAATAGTTTCTATAACCATAGTTAAAATCCGAACTATTAAATAAAAAAAAAAAATGTTTTGTGCGGTCGAAACGGGATAAATGGACCCCGGATACGTTGTGAGTGTATCTGACTTCGATGGTGCAATGTATGTGCGTGTAGCGCTAGGATATCTAACGCAAATCGCATGCACGTGCCGCCTGATTACGCGTATTTATCGGCACAGGATATGTGCATAGGTGTATGGCTGGATGTAACAGAAGAAACGTATTACCCCGCATGAATCCGTAAAAAAGGATCCAATGAGAAAAAAAAATTGGATATAACGACTAGTTGATCGGCGAGCGCAAGTGTGTAAACTAATTTAGCTAGTGTTCGAGTAATTGATAATCTTGTGATACGAGAGAAAAGCACGTTGAAAAGCAGTCGCTCTAATGCTTATCGAATTGTCATAACCGCGCGTTACGCGATGCAAATTCGGAAGAATACAGGGAATTTAGTATGTTTCGAGATTCTAAGCGATACAAGCGAGAGAGAGAGGAAACAAACCAAGAAGAGACCTTCTAACTAGGCTAGTATTGAGAATTGTACATAATTATTAAATATATAACAACGATATCGAATGACGTTATTACTGTACAAGGCGTTAACGAAAGAGAAGACTCTCTTATTTGTAATGTAAATTATCAATTGCTGAAATTATTAGATTAAGTTCCCACAAAAGTTATACGTAATTAGATAATTTTTTGCGTTAAACTTATATTGAGTTCACAATTGACCCAAAGGCTTTAGGACAAATTCGTCGTCCAGAATGTACAAAAAAGATATTTCTTTTCTATAAAAATGCTGCCAGGAGCAACATAATTTTTTTTTTTTTCGTTTATCGCCTGATACACTCTATGGATATTTAAATAAAGTATAGTGAGGATTATTATTATTATTATATTATTATTATTACCTTTATCATTATTGAAATTCTTGATATTATCTTTATTATTGTATTGTGAGTGAATCTGTTGCTAATGACTCGATCCAGTGTTAATAATGTATTTTATTTGTTTCGTTATTATTATTTTTTGTTGTTTACGCGCCGCGTGTCGCACAACACGTTCCGTACCTATGAATGATGTGCACAAATAATGCAAGATATTCGCATTACTCTTTTACACGAGATCTATCGCATGGGATACGTAATTGTCCTATCACGATTGTCGAAAATTGATTTGGAGTCGTTCGTGGTATGTGGGCCCGCAGTTTGGCGTAAGAAAAACTGGAAATTGCAAATATTTACTATTTATTCGTCTGGTGCAAAGAATGCGTTCTCTCAAAGTTAAATTAAGCTCAAGTATTACGTTCGCGTAGCGTCACTCGAATGTTATTTCATTCCATGTAATATACGTAATAGTCTAACTAAAAATACTTACTTATTACATCTACGTAACCTAGAGCACCGTACATGTAAGATCGTATAATTATATAATTTAAATTGTAATTATTAAATGGTATGACGTACAGAAATCATCACTGTTTATTCCATTCTCGAACCTATGTGAATGAAAAAATTAGCGTCCGCCGATTTCGGTGCGTTCTCGATGCGACGCGTAAATGAAAGCGTTAAGTGCAATCATTTTATAAATTAGTTCAGCGTATTAATAGCTATGTAACAAAGAGCCGACCTATAAAACAACGTTAATTATGACGCATGACGATAATCGTTATAATGTTTATATTTGGCTCTTTAAAATTCGTATAAGTCGATATCATACTCTGGCGCGTGTAGTTTATTGCTCAAACGTGCAGCGCGATAACGTCCAAGTTGAAAGACGGTCACACGAGGTTATCTCACTACGATACACATTCTTTTTTACGCATCTTCTTAGTTCATTTACGCAGACGTATTAAACTAAATTATCCCGGAAAAACCGTAGTTAAATTTCAATTAGATGCTGACCTCAAATCGCAGTAGCTATGAATTAGCTGTTGTTAAATGTGATCAATAATAATTAGCAAATCAATATCGCTAATAATTTTTCAGTTCAATGTATTTGTTTGTATTCTCTCTGTTTCTGCTTCATGTCAATATATTTGCAACTCTATATTTACTGTGCGCGATAAGTACATATATACAGTTTCCTGATCAACGTACAAAATAAATTCGCCTCGCGGCAATCGCAAGATTCAAGCGTCGTCAACTTACGTCCGTAGAGTATAGCTTGATCGCGGTTAGTTCACGTTTTATTCAGCCTGAAAGCGCCGCGATAAGAATCACGTATCGGCAGCAAAGAGCGATAAAGCAGAGTCACACCCTGCAAACTACCGCAGTAGACAGGAGTCGTGTAACAAGAAAACAAGAGGAGACAGGATTCAACGCAAGTCACGACCCGTCACGAGACTTACTCAAACGACTAAGATCGTCTAAGCTACCGACGATGACGGCGCAATTCGATTGGCTCGTAGGTGTACCTTTGTCAGAGAATGCGAGAAGGTAACCGTGACAGTATTTCGATGTACAGTAGGCGTCATTAATGCCTTACATCTCCGGTTTAGCATTTTTGTTTTAAATCTGACTTTGAATTTTGGGTCAATTATTATTTAATTTCTTTAATCTGGATTTTTAAACAATTATTGTGTGATACGTGAATATCCGACATTGTATTCTTAATCGAAAAATACTTAATCAGAAGTGTAAAACATTCATGACGTCTACTGTACAATTCATAACAGAGTATGATATAAATGAAGAATAGACACACTATAACGGCGCCAGTCTACTGTAAGATCATGACCTTTCGATTAAATTCAACTGCGCTTCTATCCAAAAGTATAATTTCTCTAAATCTAGATTGGAACTGAATATCTTTAGCAACGCTATAATTAATTTGCTTATTACATTTATGTAGTTTTATATGCCAATTCTCTTTGCTACATAATTATTATTATACTTAACTAACTTGTAAAATGATTGCAATTAAGCAGCGCGTAATTGCATCGAAACAATGGCGTGAAAACAATTCGACTTTTACTTTGCCGTATGTATTATTTCACACATTGAGACTTTTGATATTGAGAAAATTACAACGGAACGCAATTTTCTTGAATAAGCTATTAAGCTCTATATAAAGTGGGAAGGAGAAAGCACAAGAAAGTTTTCAGACAAGGCTCTCTCGTCAGTCTATCAGAGACGAGAAAGATCCCCACGACGAGCATCAGCATTCGCGCGAACACCGTAGGTATATAATACCTCTCGCCTGCCGTCAGTCACTCAGTCAGTCATTGATACCACGGGGTGATTAATGAAGAGTCAAGGTTCGGGATCACGGTACCGTGTGGCGAGTAGGGGGGGAGACCGCGGAGCACGACATCGCGAAGAATGTCGATACCACGCGGCTCCAAGAAATGAGTGCGCGTAGGTCGTCTATTGTGAAATTAAGTCTTGTTCAAGGTGCGGGATTTATCGAGCAATCATGTCGAGTATAATTCGACACGGTAACGTTTAGTAATGAAAGATGGTGTCCCCAAGAAATTGTAGAAAAAATTTTATTGTTTATAACGTTAGATTTTTGTCCGCGAAAGCTGAGTTTTTTTTTGTCAAAGAATTACTTTCTGTGTTATTCATTCTAATAAAATTTTATTTACTTCTCATAAGTAATTTTTTTTTGTTTTACTTCTTTATATAATATCCTATTTTTTACGAAAAAAAATAGAGAAATAAAGAAATATTCTAACTACAGGAAATGGTTTGAAAAAAAATGTATTGACTGAAACATGCAAACGGTGAGCTATTTGCGCACGGGTAAGGCCCCTTTTCTACGTGATTGACAAGCGGGGCAGAGACCCAGAGCGCACAAACTCGAAACAGGCTGTACGCGTTTATCCATCTGCGTTCATTCGTTCCGTCTGTCCATCCGTGTCCGTCGATGTCCGAGTCGCCGTCGATACCCGCCCTGTCCACAAACGGACGGAGCAAGACTTCAGCACTTTTATGTACGGAGTCTGAATAACAAATCTGTCCAATTCACATGTCGACATCAAAGAAGATAATATAAACACTACAGCGATACATCGTCTACAAAACCTTAATGTTTTATTAATGCGGCCTCCATTCCCGTCCCGTATCCACCAAGTACGTTCCATTCCATCCCCAGTTAGGCGACACGACGGCAGAACCGCGAAGACCTCCGCATTCGTGGGTAAGAAAAGAGCTATTCGAAGTGTGCAGAGTATCGCGCTAGCGGAACACCCCGAGCCCCGAGCCTGTTACCTCTGTTTTGTACGTTTTGCATTCGCTGTCCATTCGTGACCGCCCGAAATGTTTTGGTCGGCTATCGCGCCGCGATATCAAAATTCCTATCTTGACACCCAGTATGTTCTTTGATAATCGCATGGTGGCAAGTTTGAGACAAGAGAGACAAACGTTATGCCTCTCAAATTTAAAAATTGAAATAATCAATTTTTATATTATCGGATTATATGAAAAGAAACAAACAAATTAAAAAAATAATTTCGAAAATTCTACCATTTGTGTAATTATTATACGCGTCAATAAACGTATAACCAATTGAAATGATCGATAACTCGCCGTAAATAACTTGCAATGCAGTTGACGCACTTAACACGATTTTAATTTGTATGCAAATCTGCCGCGAGGCAAGTCAACCGTTGCACTTTCCTAATTTGGTGACTGCACGCAATAATTATCGATATACGTCAAAAGTACTTTCTTTGCTCTTGTTTAACGTTTTTTTTTTTTGTCAAGCTTATTACAAAAAATATCTATAGCCGGCCAACTCTCAGTGTCCATCGCGATATCTCGTCGAATATTTCGCGCTTCGGAAATCCATAAAACGATGTATCCGACAAGAAGCATGGTTTTACTTAAAATAAGTAAGCAAGCGTTACGGATGAAATGTGTAAGCGCAGCTCCGTGTAATAGTATGCAGGAATGCAGGCAAGGTAGCGAAGACAGGGGTGTAGGTGCTTGCTGTGGGGAGGTTTGAAATCGAGAAAAAAGGAGAAAGGAGGAAGAAATGCCGAGGAAGATAGAGAGGAGTACTGATCCGCGGCTGATGCGAAAGAAGACTGAGGAGAGTCCTGAAACTCTGAGTGACAGCCTCGCCACGTACGTGGGAGGCGAGTCCGCAACAAAGGAAAGGCGATAGCCTTATGCAAATGCAACCGATATCGGACGCGTGCGCCCCTTGGCTCTTGCAAGATGAGGCCACCGGATTTGCGCTCGAATTTGAGTTGTACCGGATTCTAAAATTAGTTTCAAGATTGTCCAGTCTAATAAAAGCTCATGTAATTCCTCATTATTATTTACTCGTGTAATTATTGTATGATATCATATGTTTTACATTTTTTTATAATATGCTTTTGAGATTAAAGAGCAGCAGGATATGTGTAAAATCTTATTAGAATAATTGAAAGTTTCTCTCATATATAAAAATAAATTATTTTTAAAATATACTCAGACAGCGAGTGTTTTCATTAATTTTTTCATAACGTCAATATGCTAGGCAGGTGTCCAAGTAAGGATATTAACAAAAGCAGCGTCGGACATAGTTTCCTTTAAGGTAAGAAACCGAGTTATCGGTTAAAGCACCGGCTCCCTTTAGACGTCACTTGGAATTCCAAATATCCGCGAGTTTCTACGATGTAATAACGAATGACACGGGCGGAGAACAAACGAAACGAGAAAGTCTGCCGGTGGTAAGAGAGGTTCAGAGGGTTGAGTGCGCGAGAGGAATGAGGTGGTTGTATGAAGAGCGAAGAGGACCAGTATGGAATGGGGAAAGAGAGGGTGGTGGGGACGCTACAACCGAGTTCCAAAGGGTCTAGCGCTTTCCGACAAGAATTAATCATCCCTGGCAGCTCTCAATGTCCCTACCTACTACTTTCTTCGCATTCCCAATTATACGCTTATCTACCAAATCCGCTTTAGAACTGAAATATTAACAACTTTCCTTCGAACAATGTGAATTGCCATGAATCGTTACTAGTTCAGGCACAATTAAAACTATCGAGCATATTTCTTAGATAGAAGAGATATCAAAACAGAAAAGATGTATAATAAGATAAGTAATGCTGATAATTACAAAATCATATGAATAATTTTATAGATATTTACATTTGCAGTAGAGAAAATACATGTAGTATAAAATTTCCAGAGGGATATCTAAATATTATTTAGAAACATTGTATTGCATTTTATGTTATCTTGCGCAAAATTAAACATAATGTTAAAAGTTAAAAAATGATACATACACTGAAATTGGATATATTTTAGTATATTATGATAATTACAAGTCAAGAGCAAATTTCGAGAATTTGAATATATAAATGTATTTGCTATACTGCAAATAAGTGGCATAAAAATTATACTTGAAGAATGTATTATGATAAAAAAAAGAGTAGAAATAAAAAGTAAGCACTTTTATACATAGATGGAGGGAGGAGCAGCATGGAATTTACGAGATAGCTACCTCACTTCATCCCTTCATCCTACTTTCCTTGTCCTATCCTCAACAGGTGGTCGTTTTGCTCAACTTCTATATAGTAATTTATAATTTAATTGATTTATGCCTCTAAGCATGCTCTTTGCACTCTCAAGATACTGTTTTCGAGAAATATACCATTTCATTCATCGACACATATAATAGTTCTATCGTAAATTCAATTTATCGGCATATTTTACAAATTATCGTGACCCTCTTTGCATGTCAATTTTAAATGTCTCATGTGCTTTAAGAGTAGTTAAAATTTCTTTAAAATATTAGTTTGCTTATATAAGTTTGTAAATCATTGAGAATAACAGTGCGATTAACTTTAATAAACTTCGATATTTTGATTTGATAAATAAAAGCAATTTTATAGTAAATGACAAATTGACAAATAAAAATCCAAACCTCAAGTCAATATTTTATGTAATTGTAGAAAAATAATAAATCAAATCACTCACCGGTCGTTGTACCCAAGCTGAATATCTGAAAACACTTTCAGCTATACCTGGAAAAATTAATATGTAGATATGTTAATTAATATTGTAAATTATCATATACTTTCTATATATTAATTATTAGATATTATTTAATTATTTTCATGTTTATTAAAACACATGATTATACGTAATAAATTGTTTGAACGATTATTTTAAAATTTTAATAATATTTCTACACATTGTAATAAATATAAAATATATACAAATTGTAATTATACATGTGTAATTATGTATGCACATGTATTATCACAAAAACTCAGAAGAGAAAGTTAAGATATATCGAAACATACTGGTTCATCATTTACTTTGAGCACCACTGAACACTGAACAAGAACAGATAGATAGAAAGAGAGAAAGAGAGAGACAACTCTCTATTGCTACCTTTTGCTTGTTAGTATGCAGAGGCGCTCAGCACAAAACAATGTATCATGTTCTAGATTAATTATTACACAGATTAATTAATTAATAAATAAATAACTCTATTCACCAGCACGGGTATTGCAATTTGCTCAATCCAATGTAGATTCCGCCTTAGACTGCACCAGCTGCGCCGAAGAATTGATGAATTTCATGAAAATACACTAGCACTTCGTTAAACACACGAAAAACACACCTGAAATGCAAACGCAAAATAAAATGTATTGTTCCGCGATGTTCGCGGTATCATCGATTATTATAACCTTACATATTGCACCGTTTGACTCGGTGTTATACTCACACACTAAAATATCACACTATCTTGGCGGGAGGCTGTTAGGATACCTACAATAACCACAACAATAAATGCATTTTACCAAATTTCATTCTGAACTCAATTTCTAACATGCATCTTTGCGTATTTATTGCATCGAAAATCATACTTGCTATCAAATTGTAACCTCTGTGCATCCACGGCCTCGTCGCCGAACCGCATGCGATATGGCATCAACACACGAATAGCCGCAACAAGTAATACATTTCTACAATCGCCCGTTACTTTAATCGACACTCCCGACAGAAAATTACACTCATTATACACTTTTAATGGATAATATATGCAATTAATACCAGATAATTTGTATGATGTTTGCGGCTTCTTCGTGTTTCAATTCGCGTTTCGGTCCATAGTTCGCGTTCCGCTCTAACATCGTGCGCGCAGCGCACTTTTCTCGACCGCTATGAACATCTACGCATAGCGAAACGCTAGGCGCGTGAATCTCATGTTCTGCAATTAATCGTGTATTTCTTTCAAAAGTACACAACAAGTGAGAATTATGTCCGATTAACATGACAAACGAGTCGGAACGTATTATGTACCTGTGTCTGCGTTTCCTCGAGCGTTTGGTGGCCGAATCGTAAGTTGAAACAGACGCAATCTTATTGAGTATAAATACGCGACAAGTGTATGTAAAAACGCTACGTAATGAAACAATGACCAAGAGGACTGCGCGCGCACTGCTGGAAAGCGCGCCGTTTTAGAAACCGGAACCGCGAATCGGAACGCGAAGTGAAACGCGAACGGCAAATACTCGCTTAATACAATTAAACGCTCTGCGATTAATGATGTGTTTTATTTATTAAATAAATATAATAACTGTGTTTTTATCGGGAGTGCCGATTAAAGTAACGGGCGATTGCCGGAATATATTATTTGTCGCGGCTAATCTCGTGTTACTCGTATGTCGTGCGTATCACGCTTATCGTCGAGTATTTGGCGGTTAGACCGTAAATTTAATGAGATTGCAATTTCAGTAAGTATAAATTTTGACGTAATAACCATTTGAAAATGAACCATATAATTGCTCAACATGCTTGAAGCGCAGTATACTTAATAGATGTAGCATATCAAAAATTTAGATCGTCTGAATTGAATTAAATAATAAAATACACTTGTTGTTGTAGGTTATGTGGACAATTTTTCCGTGATCACCACGATAATTGTTAGTTATGCAGCTATTTTGAAGTGTGTATATACGGCTATATGATGTCGAATCGCACAAATGCCGCCAAAGTATGAGATTATAATAATCGAATTATGCATATGAAAATGCGTTGCGACACAGTGTGTTTTATTTTGCGTTTGCGTTTGTGTACCGCATATAAATTCACGACGTAAATCAGTGATTTCTAAAAGTAAAATGTGCTAATTGATTTTTGCTTGATAGTGCATGATAAATTGTAAGTGCTAGTGTCTGTGGTATTCATCGATCTTTTGATGCAGCTCAGCAGTGCAGCCTACAACGAAATTTGCAGCGGATTGAGCAAACTACAATATCCTAGTTGGTAAATAACAATTATTTATTTATTATTTAAACATGTGCACTTAATGTTGATAATTAGAGTCTAAATGAGAACGCTAATACCATGCATCGTTTGTTTGTTTGCGATTAACGTCGTTAAACACAAAGCGAAAGATAACGATAGAGAATTACCTCTAAGGATTATCTCTCTCTTTTTCTATCTACTCATCTATCTCTCGTTTCATGTTCAATGGTGCTCAGAATAAACAGTAATGCGGTGCCGCGTTAGTTAGCATCTTTAACCGGCTCTAGTTTTAACACATATAATTATAATTTGTACTTGTTAAATATTTTATAAAATATTTCTTAAAAGATTTCAATATTTTTATCAAAATTTGTATATAATTTTTCAGCTACTTTTTGAATATAGTTATGTTATACTAAAAATAAAAATAATTAAATAAAATAAATAAGTAATAATTAATATACGTAAAATAAAGGTAATTTGCAATAACTAAAATATATTAATTTCTCCAGGTGCAGCTGAAAGCGTACTTAACTAGGGTACAACGACCGGTGAGTGAATTCATTTTCATCATGTTTATGTAATTACACAAAATTCTGATTTACAAAAAGTATTGATATAAACTGCAATCTTTTATTTGGCAATATTTACTGTATAATTGCTAAGGAGCGTGTTTTAACAATCACATCCTCGTCTGCAATTTATATTTTTATAGATTACACCTCGCGTTTTGTGTGTTACAAAATCATGAATTCGTGATTTTCGAAAGTGAAATGCAAGTTAACTAAATGTTAACTTTTATTCGATAATACGCGTAATTTCGATAAATTTGAAGCAAAATCTATAATACATAAATCCGTAATAGACCGAGTAAGCAATACTTTAGCTAGTGAATACAATTGTTTCTTTATTATTTAAATATATAAAATGTGTGATAAAAAGCACACATACGCAATTAAAATTACAAAGAACAAAAACACTACTTTACTAAGAATGTATTAAAAATTATTTTTACTTCTTCTGATCTAACACAAGATGGAAAACGACATGTTCAGAGAAAATTTAAATTTACGTAGCTTTACGTAGCATGCATTACTGATAGCATCTTTATCGATGTAACATCGGTAAATTAAAGGTGCTCGCAATTCACCGCGGATCATTAGGAGATAGATATAGAACACTAGACGAATCATGAGCGTCTTATCGGGCTTCTAAATCGCGGCAAAGAAAACGAGACTTGCCTCAATTCAACTTACTTGATGAACTCACCGACGAGTTCATAGTTCACGTGCGACGACGATGCAGTCGACACCTGAAAAGTTTTAGGTCTTCTTGTTGCTTCTTAAGAATGTCTACTTCCAGTTTCTCTTATCGTAATTTGTTTGCGCTTTATTCCTCTTACTGCTTTAAGATTAAAAACTCATTTCAGGGGAAGTAATTGTACTAAGTCATTAATAATAATAATCCTTCTTAAATTGTAAAAGTATTCAAATCTTAATGTTCGGCACGAATTATAAGGAAATTAGCAAAGCCAATTTATATACTTTTCATGTAGACATTCAAAACTCAATGTTTCTTTTCTAAATACATTGTAAATTTATTAGAATTGTGATTTCAATTTTTTTTCTGTAATTTTTTGAAATTGCAAACATTTTAACAGACCTCTTTTCTGTGAGAAAATGTCACGAGTGGGAGCAAGAGAATTGCTTCCACAATTTTCAAACCGTAGCGGAAGGGTTCGTTCGCGTCCCCGCATAACGCGAACCTTGAGTGACAGATCTTAACAAAAGCGGAAGCTTCCCTCGTTCCGGAGCACGGACCAAGACAGAGCCATGTCGTCCGATCTTCGAATTCTTTCTATTCTCGCGGGGCGCTCTCGCACATCGCGTTAACCCCCTAGCAAAACTATTACAATTCCTGGTATGGCGAAGCGCGTTCCCCTCCCTTCTAGCATCTCCATCCCGTTGCCTATCTACGCCACCTCCCTTCTTCTCTCGCTCTCGCAGTTCTCCGCAACCCATGTCCCAGCCCCTTCCTCGCCATGTTGGCATCGCGCCCGTCAAGGGAGATTTATAGCAACTCGAATTCCTCGACTACTAGTCGGCCGTAGTTGAAGGAAGAGAGGCCGAAGAGAAGTAAAGAGTGAAAGGGGGTGCTCCGCGGTTCCGGAGAACCTGGAGGGCCCTCTGAGGGTATGTGGCTGGCGGCGGTGGCGTTGGGTGACGTTGGGCGGTGGATGGGTTTGGTAGGTTGGAGGGGAAGGCACTCGTCACTCCGACGTGACGGCCGCAGAACTCGGCTGGTACTCCATCGCCTGCTCACCTAACCCGCCGACGTTACTGCTTGCACTACTACCTTAAACTAGTATTAGTAGGTTGCTAAAGGCGTGTTAGTTTTCACGATGCTGTTTCACGAAGAAGGCATACAATGTCCACTGAAACGATTTTGTCATGTTATTACAGAATATATCAAGTGTTGTTGCAGATACTTTATTTTCAGATTAATATCATGAATCTAAATCTAAACATGCTAGCTTGACATAATGCCATATACTTTAGATTGTTTGATTTAAGGCTTAGTTATTCAGTGGAAAAATAATTGAACGCTATATGATCGAGCAAAATGGGAATTTAATCGTGAAAAAAAGTGCGAACGAAATAGTTTTCTCTCTTCGTGATGCGAATTGTACGGATGAAGAAAAGGGGAAGGCAGATATCAATCACACGGGTACTGACGGGCTGAGATTTGGTAGCAGCTTCCAAGCTGAAGAGTAGCATGGGGAAGTTCTACCCGCAAACAACTCCGTCCATTCCATCATTATTTTTCTGAGAAGCTCGCTGTATTGATTCACAAGTTATCAAGGTGTCAACAAAAGCTCTTTTTTATGGGTGCTTATTATCAAATTATTTGAATGCTTACTACCTAGTTGCTGATATCATAATTAATATTACATGAGCAACGACGAGTCTTAATAACGCATAATTGATTTCCGCAATTTCTATTTTTATCGAAGAGTTGGAGAATAATATATACAGAGAAAATATTTAAAACTATTACTTTGACTCACATTATACATATTTATCTATGGAAAAAGACATAAATCAAATAAATATAAGTAATACAAGTTTTGGGAAATATTTTATGATCGGAATAGCATTGTTTTATATGAAACTGTTTTTGAGATTTAAAAATCATTAATATTTTGAGATAAAATTTAACTAAAACTATGATTTTTTAAATCCATTCTCTACGCATAAAATATTTAATATATTATAAATTCAACAAATTCCACTCTCTAGCAAGAAAGAACCACACTTTTACTTTGACCAATATCAGTTACATATTTCATAATACTGAGCCCATGGGAGTTCAAAGGTTGGGTAAAAGACAGACAGTAAAGGTTGTGCACCTTAGCGCCTACAAATGCGATGTGACGTCTGCACGCAGTTGGGTCGAGAGGAATTATTATAATATGATATCTACTGTAGATATATACTAACCTGACAATCTCTCTCACGTTCGAAACGTCACTCGTGCTACAGAATCCGGCTCTGATGAAAAGAATATTCTTTTATTTATTATTTTTATCGTATATTATATTAATTTTTGTAGATGACCAAAAAGGAGAAAATTAATTATTTCTCCTAACGCATTAATATCAATACGTTTATAAAGAATTACCATTCGGTTTTATGCTACTATATCCTCCTCTGCATTATTAGAAATAAATTATGCCATCTATGGCAAACAGCTGAACAGTATATTCCTAAACTTCTTGTGTATAAAGCATAACGGTAACAATTCTTTCAAACTATCGTTAGAGAGAAACCAGTGAACGGTATCCTTAGCTTTATTCGCAGGACACGCAGGATACGTTTACCAACAGCTGTTCAGTACTTGCATCCATTTCACGGTTAAAACTGCATAACCATAGGTCTATATAGTTGGCCCCCCTCCTAACGCAAATCGTAAAAACATTTATATATTCGGATTGTACATCGTTTATACATGAATGTACTATGATTTTTATCGTTTGTACATTCTTCGTTAATTTAAAAAAATATTACAAAGTTTTCGTAACAGTGCTAATGATAGTTAGTCCCCCCTCCCCCCCTATGTCGCAATTACGTCACGTATACTATAATTTATAAATTTATCGTGCTTAATCGTTTGTACGTCGTTTGTACATTATTAATGATCGATTAAATTTATATTCCAACATTTTGTTTTTGTTTAAAACGCAAAATAAATAATTTTTATTTGAATATAGCGGGTACGGAGCACAGAGCGGGTGCGCATGCGTTTTAGTTACTTCCTGCTAGAAAATGGCGGATAAATCTTCAAAGTGCGTTTACATTAGTGTCAATTTCCATCAAGAAAACCATCAAGACTGAAATATGATAGTCACTGCTGAAACGAAAGAAATCACTGAAGTATTTCATGTAAATGCTTATGGCCATGGCGCTTAAAGAAACGTTAGCAGTAAAATTTAAATGGTAAACAAATTGGCTAATCAATCTTACGCTTTCGAGAATACTACACTGTAATTGGTTAATTTGTTTACTAATTAAGTTTTACTTATGTTTCTTATGTTGTCATTGCACTCATTTGCAGACCATATGTTTATGCGAGTTATAATTGCATAAACATATTTGATATCGATAAATAGTTTATTATCTTTATATTAAATTATATTATTGTGTGCTCTTATTCGCAAATCATATCTTTTTCTGTAGAGAGAAACTCGAAAATGATCGTCTCAACATTTTTCGCAAGATATTTTAATACAGAGCTCAGCTCAATTTGCTATTTGCATAAAAAATCCGAGAGCTATTGTCTCAGAAATTTCATCAGAGCTCAGCTCAGTTCCCGCTATTTGCGTCAAAAATTTGTATTGATAGTCTATCATTATTTCGAGATCCGTGCTCGATCATCATTGATGAGACCACGGATTTCAAATTTCCGTGCTCGATCATGGGATAAATTAAGTCATAGGACCGCAGATGCATAGGCTAGGAAAGATTACGAAAACATTGGCATAGCAAGAATAAATATATCCATTTTTATTCAATAATATATACATCGTTGTTTTCGACAACCTTTGGTCATCAACTTGTGTATATATATTACTGAATAAAGATAGACATATAAACTTATAAAAATTGTTTCTGATTTTGTCATTAAAAAAGTTTATAAAGACTTTCCGAATAATTTAATATATCTTACTCTGATTCGTTATTATCCGTTCTGTAAATAGATTACTATCATATCTTTTATCGTATTGTTTCTTTGAAATCTTTATCTGTAGATTTATTAGCGTTATCTAACATAAAAATTAATTTTACTCGATTAAAATTCGTGTTTTAAAACTTTTACAGCGTTTACTATCTCGTATAATAACACAAGTAAATAAATATACAAGTTAAAATTAAAGATAAATATCCAGAATAAAATCGTCATAATTTTTATTTGAAATAATCAAATCACGTAAAATGCTTACTTTAATAGATAACTATCATCTAAATGCTCATCGTTATTGCATCGTTGTTTCTAATGGAAGCTAATTAATCAAACGAACTGTGATTCAGCAGTTATTCGTACGGAAAGATCTTCTAAAATTTATCACGATTGCAATTTTAAAAATAAAAAGCGCAATGATATGAAGTGATTCACAATTTATTTACTGAAATGTCACTATGCGAATGATAGCAGGATAATCGAAGCACGCATGAGTAACATGATGGAAATTGTTACAAAATATTGCTAAAATTTAATTTATTACTATACTTGAATTTATCGGATATGTAATAACAATCTCAATTTTAGTAATATATGTAACACAAAGAAAAATGAAACTAACTATGTAGATTTAACTTTTAATAAAAGTCATGCAGATAATGATCTGAATAAAAGTCGGTATAAATATAAATTTTCGTGGAATTTTAAAATTGCATTTTACTGTTTTCTAAATGTATGACTAAACATACAAATATATTTAATTTAGATATTTTTAAAAATGATAAAAATTTTTACATTATACATCAGGTTATTTTGAATCATCCTGTATATGTAAATGAACTTTGGATAAGATAGGACACTGTCATACCAAGATCCAGTTACCTTTTCTGGTATAACACTATTATACCGACGTATAATAATAAAATAAATATTTACATCGACGGATATAGCAGTGATCTTTTTTATCAGACCAATATCTGTTGATACATTTAATTTCTTATGTGTCGATGGTATATTTTTAACTATTTAGTATTAATATCTAAATGATATATATACACAAATATTAATAAAATTAAACTCTACAGGTTCTTTGTTAATTTTATTAACAACTTCAAGTGTAAAAAAATTTGTTATAACAAAATTTTTTTCTGTTGCAACATTTTAAAATTACCAACATTGTCTTTATATTGCATTTTGCATTTCTTATTTTTTATAACATTAATTTTATATAAAAAACAGAATACATGAGAGATTTCTACTTTGACTATGTTTGCTTGTAAAAGTGTTGTTTCGAAGAGATCATACAAATACGATATCTCAAATAATATTACATAATTATTTAATATAAGATAATAATATTTTGTATTTTATAATGATATTACATTTGTTACACAATTATTCAAAAATATTTTTGATAAACATTTTTGCAGTTCGTAACATTTTTACCTTTCCAGACCCTGTCATAAATCCGGTCACATAATGAAACCCTACAATGCAGTTCCGGTATACCTGAAGTTAGAAAGTCATTCATTGTTCGATAGAGTAGCTAAAAAAACTCGCTACTATTGTAATATAAAAAAAGCTACAAGTAAATATAAAAATTTTTGATGTCTGAACTGAATTTAATAACGCGTATCTACTATCATAAAAATAAGAAAAAATATTTGTTAAATATTCTTTATTTTGTTTATTCTTTGTGTACTATTGCAAAAATATTTAATATGTCAAAAATATCGTTTTTTATCATTTAATATAACTAATTCTTTGATTTTAAAAACTATTTTAAGACAGAATACTTATGTGTACATACAAAAAATATCAAATCCATATGGCACGCTTGAAATAGCCAGACAAAACTGCTATATTGCGTGCAATATATTAATAGCAGGATGCTCTGTTGAATATCGGTAAATTATATAAAGTAAAATGGCAAAATACAGTGCATATAGAGCAATACCAGCTACTCTATTTAGTCCGATACTATAGAGGAGTGGTGGTGGCAACTGTCACCGAAGACAATTTATGTTAATGACTGTTCGTAAGCGAGGAGCGCCGAGGTCGCTCGACAGAACAGTCTGCAGGTCGCCGTAGCAGCGGTCGGACACGAGGCTCCTTGCTCGACTTTCGAATCCTCCCCACTCTCACCCTGAATTCACCACCTTACTGCGTTCCATCCCTACGATGGCGACGCCCAGTGTCGATTCATGCGCAATTTCATCCCCAACTCGGAGATTCATCCTCCTATGGACGCCTGTGTGCTCGTCGGAAAGTTGTTTTGTGATAAAAACCAGTGTATTAACGTAAAACTAACATTAAGGATATGTTCGTGTAATTATTGGTAAGTGCAATTTGTTTTTTTCGTTGCGTATTTTTTACTTGTAAGAAAAACTAATATTTGGTAACAGATAAAACTCAAAAATTGCCCAAAACTAGGTCTAACTCCAGAAAGAAAGAGCGGAATACAATGCTTTAGTTTCCTGATAAAGATATAATGGTCTTAATTGGTGTTAAACAAGACAAAAAGCATTTAATGCACACATATATGTATATCGGTACTCTCTACATGTCCTTGACACTACCTATTTTTACCAGACGAGACCTGAAAATGGCTACAGAGAAGTGAAAAATGATCAGCTAAATCTCACAACAAAATCACGACTCCAAGCCTAATAACGAACAGTACTATTTGCCTAACATGGTTTTCAATGTCTTCAAAATTGGTAAGAAAAATCTCTTTTATTTTACGAAAATATATTGTTAATATGTTTAAGATATAAAATGTATTGTTGTGAATCACAAAAATGCAAAATTAAGTAGATATATTATTGTATTTAAACCTCAATTAAATGACAAATATTTAATTTTGTTTATTGCAACAACGATGAACAAAATTTAATACATCCTTTTCTGTGAAAATAATGATGAATAAAATACGTTTGTTTAGATATATCTTAGTTCATTTATATGCATTCAACGTACATAGTGCTTTATTAACTGCATAGCACATCGTATTTTGCTTAATTGAATAACTTAATATTATTCAATCAACAAATGATTTAATTAGTTTAATAGTCTACATGCTTTATAATTTTTTAAGAAATAAATTAATATTTAGAACACAACAGAAATATCCACATATCCAAAGTACACAAAATATTCATTTTTAGTCAGTTTTCCTTTAAAGTTTAATCTGAATTGTGTATAAAATGAATTAGAATTGGCGTTTACACTTTCCTGTTTGCATAATGTGTCTAGATCATTTTATTGACGTATTCAAGAGAGAAAATAGGTATCATTAGCATGTCGATAGCCGGTGAGTTACACTTCGGCACGTATAAGGCACCGTCGCGGTGGCGCCGACGGTGGCGAATTTTGCGATTCCCATACAACCTCTCGGCAATCTGGCGGGATGCCGATCGATTTGCACAGTGTTCCTCATCCTCAACACGGTTCTGTTTCAGTTCATTTCGTAACTCGTGTGGTGCTACCTGCAAAATTGTACAATGAAAATTTTTGCAAGTCAGAGTTCATACTTTCACGGAAATTCTAACGAGCCTGTGTGAAAACTTCGTATTCTACTTTGGCAAATGAAAGAAACTTGTTACATGAAATTAGTAAATTTAGTTTTGTACAAAAAAAAGAGACTATACTTCACATAATTTATTCCATTCGATTTGTTTAGATTTCTCACGGATGTGCAGCGTTTTAGAATAATATTGAATGTCAGTAAATTATGGATTTAATTGCAACTTTGATACTTTATCTTTCAAGTATAGACAATGATTTATTCTGATTATTTTTGTGAGCACAGTACTAACTCGCTCATCAACAAAATAAGTATAATATTTAAACATTCTTTTGAATATTAGTTATCGTCTAAAAAACATAAGAAAGAAATATAGGCAAAATAATTTGTGCGTGTTGCTAACGTACGTTGCATTTCATGAAGCATACATCTGGTAAACTGCATACTAATGAAACATTCTCTTTTAATTTTTCTACAAAAGCATGTAAAATTTGAAGCGAGCATATGTGCACTAGAACAAACCGGCTGTGAGTCCAATCAAGGACTCACTCCGTCCACATTCCACATCTTGCCTTCCAATCTCTAAACTTGTTAAGTATTTTATCGAAAGAAGTGATCTCTGAAATAGGTAATTGCATCTTGTGAATATTTTCAGACAATCATTGAATAGTTGAAACAAATAAGATGTATTATTTTAGTGTGAACAATGTGAGGCCAAGTTGATTCATTTTTCATAATTTTAATTTTCTATCTATATTTATTTCAAAGAAATATTTGTAAAAAAGAACAATTAAAAA